GAGAGGGAGAGGGAGAGGGAGAGGGAGAGGGAGAGGGAGAGGGAGAGCGCTGTCAGTGAACTTCCGCACTAGCCAGAGAACCGTAACCCTGTGTACTCTTCTTAAAATTCCTATTCTTGGGTCCACACCCAAAGGTTTTGTTCCAGTGGTCTGGGGCGGAGCCAAGAAATTTATATTTTAAACAGGAACCTGGATAATTCTGACACATACCATTGTTCACTGATGGTTTAAAAAAAAAAAAAAAAAAAAAAAGACCAGAATAGCCAGGAGTCACCTGTGGTTCATGGCTGTAATACCAGTACTGAGAAGACTGGAGCAGAAGAATCGTCCACCCACCCACCCAACTCCCAGGCCAGTCTGGACAGTAATTGTGAGTTCCAGGTCAGGACTGACTTGCTTCGGATGTCCCCACTGTGGATAAAAGGTCTTCAAGGAGAGATTCAGTGGCTGGTTCCCAAAGCATTTGTACGACTCTCCAGATAAAGCACACACCATAACTAGCCCAGCTTAGAAAAGGTACTAAATACTTACATCAAGTGGCACATAAAATGTAATAAAAGGAGTCGCTGTTAGGGCCCTGCCTATTCTTCCTCAAACAGTTTAGCATGGTCAGCAATTGTCTTTGAGATTGTTTTTAACCCTCAAAACTGTGGACCTCTCTCCAAAGCGGTCAGGTACACAAACGTTTGTGCTATCTCATGGAGTTTTCAGTGTCCGCAGAGCCCAAATCCGTTCTTTAAAACTAACTTTAAAACGAAGAAGGAGAAAACCAACCAACAAAGCATTGTCTCCTTTCCGGGAGACAGGTCTCGTCACTCTCGGGCAGAGTGCTGGAACAGCTTTCCAAAACACTCTATCTTGAATTTCACTTGCTCAACCTGAGATTTCTTAAGTTTCGAGAGAGAGAGAGAGAGAGAGAGAGAGAGAGAGAGAGAGAGAGAGAGAGAGAGAGAGAGAATTGTTTTTAAAATGAGACAGAGAGGCCTTTTCTCAGCTCTCAAATTACCTTCTTTGCAACCACAAGCGCCCTTAGAATCTTAAGGTTACCGCCCCCAAAGGCCTTCGCTAGGTATTTATCACCCACACCCTTCAACACCCGAACCCCAAACCAAGAGTTAATCACCTTTATCTAAGAAAAGCCAGACCATCAAGAGATACGGATCCACAGACCCTAAAGGGATCAGATGCCCGACCCACAGCAGGTGTGTCTCAAGTCCTTCAAACCCCGGTGACTACCTCCTGCTGAGGACGCTCAGCGCTCGCCCGGCCCTCACCTGTGCAGCTCCATTGAGCTGTCTCCCCAAGTGAAACCTTGTCTAACCCGGACCCACAAGGATGGGCCTTTGCCTGGTGGAGGAGCCTGGGCCAGCACGGGGACGCGGGACGCCACGGATGCGCCTTGCATCTCCCCATCTGCGCGCAACATCTCCCCGGCCCTGGGCGTTTGGGGCGCCGGCACCCAAACCGGAGCCAGAGCCGGAGCCCGAGCTGGAGCCCTGCCGAGGTGGGCCTCTGCCGGTCCCCCAGCCCCGCCGGCCGCTCGCCAGGCTGGACAGCCGCATCGAGGCCTGACCGCGCCGATTCCACGCCCGCCCGGCCCCATCCCGTGGACCCGCCAGCCCCGCAGCCCGGCGAGCACCGCTCAGAGCGCGCAGCCGCGGAGCTCCAGCCCCTGGTACTCACCCCGGACGCGGCCACCGTGAGGCCGCCCGGGGAAGGGGAGGTGGTGAGGAGCAGCCCCAAGGATCTCCCTCTTGGACTGCGCCGCCAGGAGGCGGCCCTGGAGGCCCGGCTCCGCCTCGAGTGCAATGCCATCGGGGGCGGGTCTGCCGCTTCTCCCGGGACTTGGCGCCACCGGCCGGCCGGGCCAGCCCCATCAACGTGCAGCGGGGGCTTGAGTAAAAGAAGGGATACTCAGCTCAGGCTTTGGGGGATCACAAACCTTATTGCCGCTAGCGAGCGAGGCCCCTGGTGCTTCTCAGATCGCATCTCCCCGGGGACGTCACCGGAACCTGGAAAAGAGATTGAAACCCCCTGCTTTACACAGCAGGAAAATGACGCTTTGGACTCGCCGGAATGTGCAAGCCTTTCGCTTCTCTGGGCAAAGCTGAGTGAAGAGTGGCCTAAGGCCACATCCTAGAATCCAGAGGTCCGCAGTTCCGTGTTTACTTTGCGTGACATTACCAGGCGACATCGTCATCTACAAAGTTCACGCTCGAGAACCCTGAAATGGAGGGGGGGAAAAAAAGCTCTTCACCCTTCATAACATTTTAATTAAGTTTACAATTTTATGTTGGGCTGAATTCATAACTAATCTGGGCCAAGGGTTGGACTTAGCAACTCTAAAGTCCTGACAGGTTGCAGCCTTCTCAGCCATACATTGTACCAAATTGAAGACAGAATGATGTTTATGCTAAAAATTTGATTGAAAAATAATGGTGGGCTCTGCTTAGGCACACAGGACAGCAGACCACATGCTACCAGCTCTCTCAGAAAAATTATATGAAAACCACCCCATCCATTTCCCTCTAACGCAGAGATTCTCAACCTGTGGGTGGCGACCCTTCACAGGGGTCGCATATCAGATACTCTGCATGTTAGCTATTTACATTACAATCCATAACAGTAGCAAAAAAATACAGTTATGAAGTAGCAATGAAATAATTTTATGGCTGGGGGTCACCACCACATGAGGGGACCGCATGAAAGGGTCGCAGCATTAGGAAAGGCTGAGAACCACTGCTCTCAAGGAGCAGACTGTGAAGCAGCCCTGAGGCACTGAGCTTTAAACAGGTCTAAGGCCATTCTGATCACATGTCCTAGTCATCACTGTGACATGGGAGTGATATACAGATGCTGGAGCCTGAGCCTTCTGCCTTAGGCAGAAGCCTCTGAAGAACACTAGAGAGGTCCCACAGCTGCTGTGATCTGGGCAGAAGCAATGGAAACTCCCTGTAGAAAACTGGTCCCAATTTGGTCCCATGGATACAAGTTAACAATTTTTCATTTATTTATGTATTTAATTACCGTGTAGTGCTAAAGACAGGAATCAAGGCCTGGGCTACCCTGAGACAAAACTACTACCCAACTACACATTACCATCACCACTCCCAGCCTCTCCTCACAAGCACACCTTGAGTCCAAAATCCTTTTAAAATCATTATACCAGTTAGTTTTATGTCAACTTGACATAAACTAGAGTCATCTGGGAAGATGGAACTTCAAGTGAGAAATGGCCTCACTGTGGATGGTCTGTGGATTCATTTTCCCGATTGCTAGGTCGTATGGGAAGGCCACCACATAAGTGGTGCAAACCCTGGGCAGATGGTCCTGGGCTATATACGAAAGTAAAGTGAGCAAGCCAGAAAACAGAGTTCCTTCATGGTCTCTGCCTTGGCTTCTCTCAAGGATACACTGTAACACACATAAGAGTAAATAAAAACCTTTCTTCCCCTGGTTACTTTTGGTCATGGTGTTTGTTTATCACAATACCAATAAACTAGAACAGTCACCAAGCCAAGGGGCCACATGTGAATGACAGCCAAGGTAATATACCCCATAGAACTACTCCCCCCCCCCAAGAGATGTTAAAAGAAAAGCTTTTAACTAATTGAGCCGGGCAGTGGTGGCACGATCTCTGTGAGTTCGAGGCCAGCCTGGTCTACAGAGTGAGTTCCAGGACAGGCAGGGCTACACAGAGAAATCCTGTCTCAGAAAAAAGAAAGAAAGAAAGAAAGAATTTAACATAGTTGGAACAGCTAGACATCCACAAATCAGGCTTTTATCACATGGAAGGAGTATAGGGTCCTGGTTAGAATTTTTTTTTTTTAACTTGACAAAAGCTGGAGTCATCTGAGAAGACAGAATTTCAACTGAGAAAATGCCTGTGTCATTGGTTTGTGGCACATTCTCTTTATAATGTATGCTGTGGGAGGGCCCAGCTCATTGAAGGGGATGCCAACCCTAGGCAGGGGGCCCTGCATTATACAAGAACACAGGTGGAACAAGCCCGTAAACAGTACTCCTCCATGGCTGTGCTTCAGCCCCTGCCTTGGGTTCCTGCCTTGATTTCCCTTTATGAAGGATTACAACTGTAAGCTGAAATAAACCCTTCCCTCCGAAAGCTGCTTTGGAGCAGTGTTTTGTCACAGCAATGGGAAGCAGACAGAGATTGGGACCCAGAGTGGGATTTCTTGCTGTGACAGAATGTCATTTGGGGAGGATCAGGAAGAATGGGAGGGCAAAGAAAACAAGGAACCCTAAGGACTAGAGAAAACAGTTCTGGTCCTTTGCTCGGGCTGGGAATAGTGTTGGTTTCCATGACCAGAGTAGAAAAACTTATCTACAGGACACTGGGCAGAGCACCCAAAGAAGCCTTGCCTGCCTCAGTAGAAAATTAGCCTACCCTGAGTGCTGCTCCAGACCTGCCTAACAAGACCCCAGAGGAGCAAATTGTAACCAATGAATCAGGAACGTTTATAGAGATGTAAAAATGTACTCAACACCCAGCAGGATAAAAATTCATAATGCCTGACATCCAAAGTGGTCAGATGCGCAAATCGGCCGGAAACAACCACTATCCAGAACAATCAACTGAAGGTGATCTAGAACTGGAATTGATGCTAGAATTAGCAGAGATGGGTGTTAAGACAGCTACACGTATATTCTACACATTCAACAAGTTGAGCTGGTTGTAGTGGCTCATGTCTGTATTCTCAACAATTGGAGCAGCAAGACGGATGTGAGTTTGAAGCAAGCCTTGGCCTCATAGACTGTCTCATTAAACAGCAAAAAGCCATGTGTGGTGTCGCATGCCTGTAATATTAGAAGTTGGGAACTAGAGACAGGAAGATCTGGAGTTCAAGATAATCCAAAACTACATGGGTGACTACAGAGGTCACCTTGACTGTATAAATCCCTATCTCAAAGTGGGGCAGGGATTTTTTTTTTAAGAAAGATTCTAACTGGACTTATAGAAATGAAAGGTAGGTCGTATGACAATAACATGTCAGAGGGAGAAATGGAAGTATACTCTTATAAGGTTCTTTTTAAAATTTTATTTTATGTGTACAAACGTCTTGTCTGCATGCATGTATATATGTGCACCACATGCATTCTTGGTGCCTGCAGAGGTCAGGAGAGGGCATCCGATTTGGAAATAGACTTACAGATAGTCGTGAGCCACCTGGTGAGTGCTGAGAACTGAATCTGAGTCTCCCGCAAGAGCATCAGATGCTTTTATCTGTTGAACCATCTTTTCCAACCCCTATAGTAAAGCTCTCATGCTATATAATTTATAGCAAAATTCCTACACTATATGTGTATAATATTTTAAGATTAAAAAATGATAGATAATATAAGCTTTTGAGCAGCCACTAAAGGGACAAAACCAACAACCGGTGGTTGGGTCAGGATTGGGGGTTTCGAAGTTCTTGGCCTTTTATTAGAAGAGTTGAAATCAAAGCCCACACAGATTTGCAAAAGTAGCAAAGAAACCTTATTTAAAGCAAAATAATAGAACAGGTCAGAAGATGCTGCAAGACAGCAGTGAGCACATGAATGGAGACCCTGAAGTACCCCTCTAATTGTTCGGGGCTTCCTCTTCTGGAGTTCAGTGAAAGGGTGACTTCAGTCGCTAAGGGATACAGTGAGAGCGGTTCTCTCTTCTAATTGATAGATTATTCTGTGTGATCGTTTTTCTGTGGTATGTGCCTCTGCCCACAATGCATCTGATTTTAATCATATGTGTGCTCAAGAATGCATAGGTATGAGATGGTAAGTTGGGGATTCTCCCTAGAAGTTCACTTGAGGACACAGTTTGATTTGATTGTGAATGAACTCTAAACCAGTTCGAGCCAGATCTTTCCGTTCTTTGTGCCCAGATACATTGGTAATGTATATGAACTGAAACTGTCTTTCATGAACAAAGTGCAGAGAATAATGGGGCCCTGCATCGTGAATTCACTCCCAAGGCTCGGGACCATCACTGAAGAGGGAGCAGAAGACTGCAAGAGCCAGAAGTTTGGGAGGACAAGAACCAAACAATATTTTCTGGACATGACAGGACCTCTGCACTCGTGAACTTACAACAGTTGTGGTTATCTACACAAAGCCTGCACAAGATCAAGACAATCAACATTATAACAGGGACTGGCTTGTCCGTGAGCTCCCACCCCTAACCAAGGAACTATTAACAGTTGCTGGCCTCTGGGGGATGGAGAGACACTTTTACTAAAGAGTGTGGCCCCATGCACAATTGACCATGCTCCCCTGGATAAACCCTGGAGTGTATGTCTGAACAAACTGGAGGTGAGTTATTTAATAGAGAGAGGAGGGAAGGGGGAGGGAGAGAGAGAGAAGGAGAGGGAGAGAGAGAGAGAGAGAGAGAGAAAGAGAGAGAGAGAGAGAGAAGAAGAAGAAGAAGAAGAAGAAGAAGAAGAAGAAGAAGAAGAGAAGGAGGAAGAGGAGGAGGAGGAAGAAGAGCATGTGGGTGTGGTGGTGCATATCCTTAATCCCAACACTAAAGAGGCAGAGGCAGGTGGATCTTTGTGAGTTGGAGGCCAGCCTGGTCTATAAAGCGAGGTCCAGGACAGCCAGGGCTATATAGAAAGACCCTGTCTCAAAAAAAAACACCTAAATAAATTAATAAAAGAGAAAAGGAGGAGCTGGGGGAGAAGTAGGTGGTGAATATAATCAAATACATTGTATGGAATTCTCAAAGAATTGTCAAAAAAATTTCATTGCTTGGGGGAAAAAATTAC